CCGGGTGCAGACTGAGGAATAGAAGGAGGGGGTGAGGAAGGGGGGCGGTCGGCGTAGGGGTGTCCGGGGCTCCTCGTAGGAATAAAGGCACTGGTGGGCTACTCACCGTTCTGCGCGGCGGAGCCATTTTCCGGCCCATTCGCGGGAGCGCCCCCCTCCCTTGCCCGGCCTCCCTCCCCGAACGCCCCCCCTTCCCGCCCCCGCCCCCCCCGTGCGCCGCGGCGCTGGTGGCTTTGCCACATCCACATTCGCTCTAATCCCACCTCACGTCCCCTTCCTACTTAGCATGGCGGGCGGAGCGGGCGGGCGGGCGGGCGGCCCATGTGCGCGGCCGAGATAAGGCGCCGCCGCGGGCCCGCCGGCCCCTGATAAGAGCCGCGGCCCATTACGGGCCGAATGATTCATTAGACTTTGGCAATTTCATTCAAGGGGAGCGGAAAATGATTGCACGGTGGTGTGTGGGGTGGGGGAAAGACTGGGGAGGGGGCCCGGGCCTTTCCAGAGGTGCCCTCGGCCGGCACTCACTGGACCCCACAGCCCAGGACTCTGCATCCCCGACTCCCGCGATGCTCTGCGTCAGGTGGTGCCCAGAGGCCTGGGCCGCCACCAGCAACCCCAACTCTGCTCCCGTAGCCACCCCCGTTCTGAGTAAACACAGACCCGTTACCGCGTCCCTGGGGGGCAGTTCCTCAGCCCCAGTAAATCCCTGGGACAGGGGAAAGGAGGAGCAGTAACTGGGTGGACAGCAATCAATGGATGGAGGTTTTTTAGGGCTCAGCCGTGCAGGCCCTGGGCTCACTTCCTCTTCTCTGAATTTCAGACCCTGGGCGGGATGTGGTGGGCATCCTGGGGCTAAACCACAACCCAGGAGTGCCAGGGCTTGGGGTAGCCAGGAGGTGGCAAAGCTCTGGCATCTCAGACAGACGCGGGACAGCTCGACAGGGATAAGGGCACCAGCAAGAGTTGTCTGCAAAGCGTGGGCAGTCAAGGGAAAGAGACAAGCCCTCAAAGTCCACTCCCCTAGAAAATTCTCGGGAGGCTGCCCCAAGTTGGTTCCTGAAGAGGGCCCATTGGAGCTGCAGGCCCCCCCAGGGAGGGGCAGGCCGAGCCAGCGACACAACCCTTGGATCAACTAGCTCAGGCAGACACGAATACACACAAGGCAGAGGGGTCAGGTTCAGCACCAGTGGACTGAGACAGTAGACTTTTGGAAAGCTATAGCCGACAGTGCTTCCTGTTGCTGCCTTGGGAGACCTCAGCCATGGAAAGAGGCAGACCATCAGACACTGACTGGTTGGATGGATGGCTGTCAGATTGATGGTTAGGTGGGTTGGTAGATTAGTGGGCTGGTAGATTGTTGGGCTGGTAGATTGGTGGGCTGGTTTGTTTTGCCACAGGAGCATCTATCTAACTGAATCATGGTGGGCCTGAACTCTACATTGCCCCTGAGAGAGCCCACGCAGACAAAAGTGGGGTTCCTTGAAGGCCTGAGACATTGGGTTAGCCGTAAGCAATCTAGCAGGCTGCATTTGCCCACAAACACAGTTCCATCTTTGGAGCAGAGCAGAGCGGTCAGACTGGTCAGTCCAATCCAATCCAAACTTCCTGATCCCAATTTGAGGTTTTCTTTGCAGATGATTCTCAGATCTATTGTCCATTCCTGACTTCTCTTCTGACTTCCAATCTCAGTCATCTGAACTGCCTATTGGACATCTCAAATTCAACATGTCCAAAGCAAAACTCATTATCCCCCCCCAAAAAATCTCCTCTTTTTCAAATTTCCCTATGGATGGCACCATTGTCCTTCCAGCCACCCAACGTCTTGCCCCAAATAGAATCTGTTGCTAAGTCTCATCATTTCTACCTTCACAATATCTCTTCTCTTCACTCATATGGCTGCCATCCTGGTGCAGACCCTTAGCATATTTCACCTGGATCACTGCAATAGCCTACTAGCTGGTCTGCCCACCTCAAGTCTCTCCCCACTCTAGATCATCCTCCACTCAACTGTCAAGGTGATTTTATTAAAGAGGTCTGACTATATCACTCTTCTACTCAGGAAACTCCAGTTTGAGAAATGCTTTTACCTCGAGGTCCAAATAGAAATTCCTCTGGTTCTCTTTCAAAGCTCTTCACAAGTGAGCAGAACCAGGAGAATGTTGTACACAGTAACAGCCACGTTGTGCGATGACTAATATTGATAAACTTAACCCTTCTCAGCATTACAAGGATCTAAGACATCTCCAAAGGCCTCATGATGGAAAATGCTATCCACATCCAAAGAAAGAAGTATGGAATTTGAATGCAGATCGAAGCATAATATTTGTTATTTTTTTTCTTCTGTTGTGTTTTGTTTCCTCTTTCTGGTGGTTTCTCCTATTGATTCTAATTCTTACTTACAACATCACTAATGTGAAAATAGGTTTAATAGGAAAGTATATGTATAGCCTATATCAGATTGTGCGGCTTGGGGAGGGAGGGAGAGATGGGGCAAGGCAGATTCTTGAAGAGTGAAAAAAATACTTTTAAAAATTTAAAAGCTTATGGAAGTGATTGTTGATAAAACAAAATTAATTAATTAAAAAAAGTTCTTCACAATTCCTCCTATTCCTACCTCTTCAATCTTCTTATACTTTACTCCTCTTCATATACTCCATGTTCCAACATGTAACAAGAAACACTGACTTTCTTCCTATTCCTCAAATAATAATAACAGCTAGCATTTATATAGTGCTTTAAGGTTTGCAAAGCACTTTAAAAGTATAATCTCATTTAAGACTCACAACAGTCTTGGGAAGTGGGTGCTATTATTATCTCTACTTTATTTGGAAGATACTTGGGGCAAAGTGAGGTTAAGTGACTTGCACAGGGTCACACAGTAGAAAGTATCTGAGGCAGGATTTGAACTCAGCTCTTCCAGACTTCAGGCCTAATGCCACTTTGATCCCAATTCCAATTCTCTGCCTTTTCATTGACTGTCTTCCATGACTGAAATGTTTATCTTCCTGCTCTCTCTATCCTGGTTTCTCTACCTTTCCTGGATTTCATCAAGACTCAGTTCAGGGGTGGAGTCAAGATGGGAGAGTAGAGAGAAGCATATAGCCCAGCTCCTCCAATACTTTCATAATGATCTAGAAAACATACCAGACTGAGTCCTGATGGAGAAATCTAAGAAATATTATAGCAAGTCATTTTTTTAGCCCAGGTTGGCACAGAAAGAAAGAGAAGTCTGCAGAACTGAGGATAGTCTAGCTAAAAATTTGCCACATGGGCCAGAATGCAGGAACCCGGCACATTTAGCAGCTCTGTTGTTTACTACCTGGTTCTGGGTCACAGATTCAGCATACACTGAAGAAGGGACCCATGCCTAGGGGTTAGAGGTGGCAGAGAGGAGTGTCAGCTAGTGGGCTCTATCTGTGTACTGAGCAACGAACAAGTTCAGAAGTAAACAATAATTGTATAGCTGTGGTTCCAGAAGCAAAGCAAAGACTCTAGGCCTCCAGCCTAAACTGAGGCCTGCAACAGAATAACCAGAGCAGGAATCTCAGACCAAAAGGGGACCTATAGTTTGAACCAGCCAAGCTTCCCACTTAGCTGATAGTGGCTGAGCTCAGAAGTAGTCTACTGGAACTTCCAGCCAGCAGCAAGCCCATAGTCATGTTGCTCAGACTCAAACCTGAGTCAAGAACTTGAAGTTTTCAGACTAGGAGAGCAGTGAGCAGTCTTTGCCCTAGATCATATCACTTTGGGAGCACTGAAAGCTTGCAAGCCCCCAGGATGTGCTGCTCCTGAGATCCTGGAATAATACAATATTCAACACTCCCAAGAAAGCAGCAGAATAATCTAAGAGGACAAAGCTTAGCACACACACACACACACACACACACACACACACACACACACACACTCACACACACAGCCTGGCCTCAGCAAAAAGTTTAAAGCCAAAAAGTAGGTTAGAAGAATGAGCAAACAAACAAACAAAAAAAAGAATTCCACAAAAAAGAGTTATTATGGTCATAGGGAAGGCTTAAGACACATACCCAGAAAAAGAGAATTACTCCATGACATCTATAAGCAAGGACTCAAGGAGGAGAGAGAGAACCCATAAGACATCAAGCAAGGCAGAAGGAGTGAAAGAGTGATTATTGGAAACAAGTCTGAGGACTGGATGCAGGAAAGTGAAGAATTATTTTTTTTAAATAGTATTTTTTTCTAATTATATGTAAAGACAATTTTTAGCATGCACTTTTACAAGACTTTGAATTCCAAATTTTTCTCCCTCTCTCCCTCCTTCTCCTCCCCTCTTCCTAAAATGGTAAGCAATTTGATGTAAGTTATATATGTGCTATCATGTAAAACATTTCCATATCAATCACAGCAGTGAAAGAAGAAACAGACCAAAAGGAAAAAAAAAGTATGCTTTGATTTGTATTCAGAGTCTGTCAGTTCTTTCTCTGGATGTGGGTAACACTTTCCATCATGAGTCCTTTGTAATTGTCTTGGATCATTGTGCTGCTGAGAAGAGCTAAGTCATTTATAGCTGATCATCACACAATGTTACTGTTACTGTTTACAATGTTTTCCTGGTTCTGCTCACTTCACATCAGTTTGTACAAGTTTTTCCAGGTTTTTCTGAAATTTTCCTGCTCATCATTTCTTGTTGCACAATAGTATTTCATTACATTCGTATACCACAATTTGTTCAGCCATTCCCCAATTGATGGGCATCCCCTCAATTTCCAGAATTTTGACAACACAAGAAGAGCTGCCAT